CTATGTGGCTGGGGCCCTATCCTCTGAGCTACAGGCATCGCCCCATCTACTATATTCTTTTAAAGTATACAATCCAATGGTGCTAGTACAGTCACTGGGTTGCGCAACCACCAGCACAATTTTAGAACATTTCCATCATCCCCCAAATAATCTCCCTATCAATTAGCTGTCACTCCTCATTTCTCCCCTCCTACCCTCCCAGCACACTAAAATGCTTTCTGACCCTACAGATTGGCCTATTGGGGACATTTCATATAAACAGAATCACAAAATATACAGCTTGTTGTGTCTAGCTTCTTTCACTTGGCATAATGTTTTGAGATCCAATGCTGTTTTGACATATAATGCTATAGCGTATGTCAGTACTTTATTCCCTTTTAATGCTGAATAGTATTCCATTGTATGGATATACTATATTTTGTTTATCCATTCATTAGTTGCTAGGTATTGGGGTTGTTTCCACTGGTTAGCTATTCCTGATAGAGGAATAATGCCACTATGAACATTTATGTTCAAGTGTTTTCATGGATGAATGTTTTCATTTTTTTAGGTAGAATTGGAACTCTTAGGTAGCATATAGTTAACTCTTACATTTTAATCTTTTGAAGAGCTGCCAAGCTATTTTCTAAGTGACTGCCCAACATACACTACCAGCAGTATATGGAGTTTCTAATTTCTCCACATCCTTACCAACACTTGTTGTCTGTCTTTGATTACAGCCAACAAGAGGGTATGAAGTGGTATCTTAATGTGGTTTTGTCAACCATCCTTTCATGTACTTATATTAGCCATCTATAAATCTTCTTTGGAGAAATGTGTAGGCAGTTTCTTTGCCCATTTTTAACTAGGTATTTCTGCCTTTTCATTATTTAGTTTTAAGAGTTCTTTATAAATTCTAGATTATATAAATAAGTCCATTATCAGATAAATGATCTACAAGTATTCTATTCCATTCTGTACACTTAATCAAACCTTAATGAAGCTAGTTGCACTAGACAAACAAATTTTGTGTTGCTATCCCCATTTTACACAGAGAATTGGCATGCCACAATGATTAAACAGACTTGACAATTGCAGACTCAAAAGAAAACTTATACCTGTACTCCTGTTTCTATGAATTTAAAGGAGCCATATATTGATAGGAACGTTGTGATAGAACACCCAGAAGGCTCCCTAATTCAACCCTGAAGTTGTCCTTTCTATATATAACCAGACAATATCATTGCCACAGTTAGATCAAAGATGGTTCATTCTCTCAAAATCCTTGCCCTCACTAGAATCATAATCAATTCCTTTGTGGCAAACAGTCCTGACCAAGAAATTTTTTATCTTGGCACTTGAAGACCAACTCTCAAGTCAGAGGGAATGTTAAGAGTTTAATGTAATTGACAGTCTATTTTTTTTAATCCAAAGCACCAGACTTATTTTGCAATTTAGAACTACTTTGAGTATTGCTCTCATTAATATGCCATCACCTGGTTTTTATAAATCTTTTACAATGCAGCAAAGCTTAATGACAATTAAACTAAAAGAAGAAAACACTCGTATTTTTACCTTTAACCAGAAAAGCCTAATGATTTAGAAACTAAATTATGGCTAGTTCCTATTCCATGCTTAATACAAATGTTATAATAATTCCATCAAACATAAAAATACATAATTACAAAAACATGACAACTTAAAAAATGTAATTTTAACCTTTTCTGTCAAAGTATTCCTAATACAGGACAGAGGAACCTAATAACCCTGAAAGACAAACTCTAAGTGACCCATGCAAAATTTAAATTTCTTGATCTTTTGATTTTTTCCCTTAAAAATTATACACAAATGTTACATTCTAAACTCTAATACATCTGTTTTCTTTTGGTATAAAAAAATTAACATCCTTCATTAAGGTCATTAAAAAAATGTTCTGAGAAGGACAAATAAAACATATGGCATGTAATTAGAACTGTATTAATTTTTACTGCACAAATTTAGTAAATAACAGCCAGTGAGTAAAACTAACACTCAGGGAGATGCACTCTGCCTGCCTCACAGTTTTGAGTGCCCTGAGCACACCACTTTGTAACTGGAGGGTGCACATACCACTGCTTGGCAGATAGGTGCCCAAGGATTTAAGAAGGCACAGGCTGAGCCGAGAGAGCATGACCTAAGGTGATCCTAGGAATGGCCTGCTGCAAGCAAGGCAATGTCATAGCTCAATATGGGCCTTTTCTACACTGTGAACTAACAGCTGTCGCTTTCTGGAAGTGTCTCAGGGGTACTTGAGGGGTTAGAGGACAACTGCGAGTGGGCAGAGCACTGCACTCCTGACTCCCATTTCCTTCAGTTTCACCTGGTTGACACAAAAGACTGGAGTCTGAAGTCAGACTCTGAAAAAAAGGTCTTAAAACCTAGATCTAGAGGAAGTCTTGGTCAAGAAGATAATAATGTGCATCAGATCTGAAAGACAAGGTGAGGACAAAATGGGAGAATGAATAATGAAGTTGGTGAGGAACAGAGTCAAAAACAGGAAAGGGTGCGGTACTACATATAAGCCAAGGGTCAGGTCAGGCCTTCATCCACAGAAAAGAATGCCTATTGTAGAGTGGGTGCGTCTGCTTAAAGGAACAGCTACAGTATTCCCACCCAGAAGCACTCAACTGCTGAAATCTTAAACTCCAATATGCTACCTGCAGATCACAATCTCCATCTGGTCCTTCTAGCTCTCCAGATTCCTTAACTCCCACAGCCAATCAATTACCCAAAAAGTAGCCAGGGTGAGCCTTCGGAAAATAAAGACAGACCATGCGACTCCTCTGATTTGAGCCTTCCAATGTCTTTTCAAGACACTTGAATAAAATCCTAAATCTTACAGCAGCCCTAATACATCATCAGACAAACCCTGACAGGGCTGCACACGTGCTATTTTTTTACCCTGGAATGCTGTTCCCCAGACATCTGCTCTGCTGGCTCCCTGAGTGCATTCAAGTTTCTGCTCAGAGGTCACTTCTTCTGAGAGCCACTTCCCCAGTGACATTATTTAATATATGTACAGCATTTATATCACTTTATTCCTTACCCTTTATTGTTTTTCCTCTTAACATTTTCTTATTATATGAAATTATACACACTAGCATGTATATGTTTACATACATATGTTCATGTTTGTTCATCATATACCTCCTCACTAGAATTAAGCTCTCCAAGAGCAAACTTTGTTTTGATCACTGTTTTCATCTAAGTAACCAAGCACCTAGAACAGAGCCTAGAATATAAAAACTTAAGAAATATTTATTGAATGAATAAACCATACCTGATCTTAAATCTGTGTAAGCTTCTACTTTTTCCCCACTCCAAGCTTCATTTCTGATCCAATATAACTTAGGATCTGATCACTCAGCTTTGCTCTCCTAAATTCTCAACTTTCTCCATGGCTTTTCCTTCTTCCATACACACCCCCTAAACCAATCTAAGGGTTTCCACCCCTATACCTAGAGATCCCGGCTATAAAAAGCCTCAAAAACCTAAGCTGAGAACTCTACAAAGGCACAGCCCCCCAGCACAGTAGGCCCTTTTCACTGCTGTCATCAATCTTTTTGTGGGCTCCTAATCAGTAATTCTTTTACACCCCCACAGAATCAATTCCAAATTTACAACACTTACATCAAGCTTCCTAATCTCTCCTTCACTCAGCAAAGACAACACCTCCGTAGAAACAAAAGAGAGGTTATGGGTCAGACTCCCTCAATTTCCTCCACCCTCACTGACCAACAACCACATGCACCTTCCTGGCAGTGTGGAGGAAGGGTGTCCCTCTTCCTGCTCAAAGCTAACCTTCAACCCTCTTTCTGCAACTCAAGATAGCCACCTACTTAGGGGTCTGATGTAATCATTTGCCCACTTTCCCCCTCCACATCTTCAATTTCTCCTTCTTTTTTACCCCACTGCATATAAATGCTTAAACCTTTCTCATCATTAAAACAAATTAGCAAACAAAACTATCATACTTTCCCAGGCTTTATGTCTCTCTTCTCACTGTGTTACTTGTCCCTTTTCCTTCAGTCAAGAGGCTTGAAAAAAGGAGTTTGTTTCCACTGCTCCCCTACACACCATTCACTACTTCACAAAACTGCTCTCCCCAAAGCACAGATGACTTAACTGAAAACCCATTAAAAGTTTACTAAACCTCATCAATTTAATACCAATATCCTTAACTTTAAATTGCCTGTCTCTTGGCTTTGGTAACATTATTTGTTCTTGCTATTCTCTCCACATTTTTGGAACCTTCTTTATAGTCCAATTTGTTATTTATTCTATGATCTGAGAAAAGCCTCTATGCATGAGGTGTCAGTTCAAAACACAGGCTGTCTTAATCTACTCAAGATACCTCAACAACAGAAATTTAACTGGGTGGCTTAAACGTAACAGAAGTTTATTCTCTCACAGTTCTGGAGGCTGAGACATCACAGTTTCTTCTCTTTGGGGAAGAAACCCTGAGGAGTGTGTGGCTTCCTCAGCCCTACGCCTGTCTGGAATTAGCCACTCTTACCAGTGTAGCGCTTTACCCGCTGGGTCTCCTATGCTCATTGCATGCGGGCAGCACACCAAGATATCAGGTCCGGGGAGCCTGGTCCCCACTGATACATGTATTCTGCTTCCCTCAAACTGCCCCATCCCTCCACTGGCCTCAGAGTATCAATCAAAGTGGGGATAAGCCCCATCCTGGAGAAAAATGGTTGTGTGATGTTACACATTTAACACTATGAATTCTGTGCAAGTTCTCTACTAAACTCCCTGTAACAAAAAGGGAAATAGGTTTTCTGGCCTAAGCAGGGCTTGGTGTTGTGTTAATATACAAATCAGGGCTGATTTGAGAGATGCTTTTGAAACCTTGTATCACAATTAGTTGTACTTAGCAGAAGTCCTAGGGAAACCAAGGGTTACTTTAAGTTTCTGATCAAGCAATAGTCAAAGTTCAGGGCCACTCCCACCTTGGGGAGACATTCTGAGCCTACCTTCATAGGTGTCTGGTTGCCCAGACAAACTGTGCAGGGGAGTCATTTTGCCCTTGGTTTGGGGCATAGGCTTTTTCTAACAAGGTCAGTTTTTTCTTCGACACATATAAATCTAAATTTTGTCCTGCAATGCAAGATAGTAAAAAGGATCTTTGAAACACTTAAAACATGTGAAAAACACCATAATTAACCAGTAACAAACCCAACTATATACATAAGGCAATCCCTTATCAACATAAAGTATGTAAACTACAAGAAGAGAGAGAGAGAAACTACAGAGATCTATAGAAGTTACTAGGAAAGAGATAACTAGGAAACATTTGGGACAATTGAAAAGGAGAGAAGATAGTGAGAGCTGGGAGAGCACAAGTTTTCAGAGGCTCTCCCAAGTCCTGGGGTCAGAACCATTGCTGGGGACCCCAGGGCCTCTGGGTGTTACCTCATTACTTGGCCCTTGACCAGGGAAAAGGAATAAACAGAGGACAGGGTCAGGTTGCCTTTACCTTCTTCCTGATACCAAGAGGAATCAGAAAGCTCGTTCCCCTTGCCCAGGACCTGGAAGTCAGCTTCTACATGAAGCATATTCACAGGCTGGTGGGCAATCTCCAGTAGGATAAGGATAGAGAAAAACAGGACAGAGGAAAGTGGTCCCATTGCTTACCACAGATGTTTTCTGTCCTGGAACCTCATCTGGTCTCCTGGCTGGCTCGCCAAATCTGATACCGGATTTTTAACACTGGATTTCCAGGCTCTTGGTCTCAACGATTCGATGAATGAATCGATAGACCATAGAACGAATTATTTACAGCTCAAAGAACCAAACCTCCTTGCAGGGCAGGATACAAGTGTTACAACTCTTATGAAAAGAACTCTTACAAAGAGCCAAGCCTCTTTGTAGAGCAGGATAGATGTGCTACAGCTCTTACAAAGGGCCAAGCCTCTTTGCAGGGCAGGATCAGCAGCAGAAGTGTTACAGCTACAGCTCTTACAAAGGACCAAGCCTCTTTGTAGGGCAGAGATCAGCAAAGGGCCAAACCTCTTTGTAAGGCAGGATCAGCACTAGAAGTGCCGCAGCTCTCGCTTCTTCCGCTGGATGGTCTGCGATGGTCTGCTGAAGTCTTGTTCTTCTGCTCTATCTTCCTTGAAGGTCTGTGAGGATCTGCAATGATCTTAGATGATCTGCCCCCAGGCTCTCTGCTCAGGGCCTTATATAGGTGTAATAGCTTAGCTGTGATTGGTCCATAAAATGGACCAATCAGGAGCAGGATTGAAAATGGACCAATCAGGAGCAGGATTGAAAATGGACCAATCAGGGATGGGCACCAGTTTTCCCTTGATTGACAGGTCCTCTAGTGCCGCTCTACTGGAGCCTCTGGGGGAAGAAAGCTCCCTCGCTTGCCCCAACCTGCCGGGTTTTTTCCGGCTGCCGCCACCAAGACAGAAGTGGCAGATCCCCCAGGCCCTGCTCAGCTGAGCTGGCTGGGTGCCACTTTTGCCGTATCACCAGCATGGTTAGTCTCTGGTGAAGGCCCTTTTCCTGGCTTGTAGACAGCTGCCATCTCACTATGTTCTCCCATAGCACAGAAAGAGATCTCTGGTGTCTCTTTTTTTAAGGTCACTTATCCCATCGGGGGGCTCCATCCTATTACCTCATCTCAGCCTAATTGTCTATCAAAGGCCCCATCTTAAATTACTATTGTATCAGGGACTTGGGCTTCAACATGTGAATTTTGTGGAAATGATAATCAAGTCCGTATGGTCTGCAGTGACTCTAGACTTTACCAATAACCAGCTGTTTGACTACAGAGAAGGTATTTAACCTGCCAATGCTTCACTTACCTCATCTATAAAACAAGAATGATAACAGTACCTCTATGGCTGCTGTAAGTAGTAAAATAATATTATGTACAAGTAAAACCCTTAGAATGATGCCTAGCACATAGTAAACATGCAATTTAAGTATTGGCCATTGCTGTTATTATTAGTAATCTTGTCATTCTCATAGCTGTCTTTAATGTTTTAATCACTGTTGTTATGATTATAAATATTGTTTCAGTCATCAATTAGTAGTAATAAAATGAAATTATTCTAGATTGAGTCTTATATAAGACAATTTAGCATAAGAAATAACCTTTATATGGGCGGTGCCTGTGGCTCAAAGGAGTAAGGTGCTGCCCCCATATGCCAGAGGTGGCAGGTTCAAACCCAGCCCCAGCCAAAAACTGCAAAAAAAAAAAAAAAAGTCTTCAAGAAATAACCTTTATAAAAGGGCAACCTTATTTATAGAAGGAAAATTTTAATGCAATCCAAATTTTATTAGTAAAATTGGGCTGCAATAACAAAACACCATGACTGGGATTTTCTTACAGTTTTGGAGGCTGGAAATCCAAGATCATGCGCAGGTATCTGGTGAGGACCCTCTTCTTCTCTTTCTAAGGGTGCCAGTTCTGTATTATCAGGACTCCACTCTTATGACCTTATTTAACCTTAATCATTTTCTTAAGGCCCTATCTCTGATACTGTCACATGGCTAAGGCCTTGACATATGAATTTGGGGGAGAAATAATTCAATCTATACTAATCAATATTAAAATTTCAAGTATGATACAACTGAATGTTACACAACAATAACTCTGAAAATGTAAGAACTCTAAAGAAAAAGATGGATATCATGCATAAATATCAGGATATAAAATTTTGAAATAATTACATAAAACACATTTATGAAAAGAAAAAGGAATATACCATAATTATAATAACAGTGATGTTAGAGCTTATTTCTAAACTGTTTACATAATCAGATAATTTGAAAAACAAATTTTCATAGAAATAATACATAAATGAAAAGCTTCAAATGGGGAAAAAAAACAAGAACACTTCCAAATCTAACTTTCTATGTTTGTTTCCTGCTTACATCACTGCCATCTGTATTAACTGAGATATAAGCTAAACTGCTACAATAAGTCCAAGAATACAGTAGTTCAAACAAAGGGGTTCATTTCTCTCTCATATAACAATCCAGGGTTAGATGATGGGTCCAGGGAAGGTGGACCTTTGCTCCACAAGGTCGCACACAGATTGAGGTTCCTCCTATCTTTTCCCAGCACTCCCTGGAGTGTTGCATTGTCTACATAAATGAAGCTTGCTCACCCACACCTCATTTAGGAAGAGTATGACAAACAGCTTTTTAATATAAATGTGGTTTAAAAGTAGCACACATCACTTCTTCTTTCATCCTACTGGTCAAAACTTAGAAATGTAGCTTCATCTGGCTACAGGGAACCCAAGTTTCTATGTTTCTATCTGGGGACCATGTGCCTAGCTAAATACATATCAGAGGTGGGAGTGCCTCCTTCTTCCCACTCTAGAATAGTCATCTCTTTTCTAAAGGGATAAAACTTAAAGTCCCACTCAGTTACTGGACTCTGCTCAAAGTCTAGGATCTCTGTGTCCTCTTCGTCAGGTATCCACATGGTTCCTTCCCAAGCCAGTGACCTATAAACCAGCTGAGGAGTAGTAACCTTTGCTCTCTGCTGCCACCATCATACCCAATATACAATGGTGGAATGCAAATAAGATGAATGTAATTAAGTTTTCCATCCTGAAAAGAATGGCAAATGCTTATTTTCGTAAATGATAAAATAACTCCTGCAAAGGAACTGCACGGAGTATCTGCTCTAGTAAGAAAGCAAGTTCCTTGGTTAAATTCAGGTTCTATTCTCTGGCAGGAACACCTTTGTCTGCTAGAGTACTGGTTTTACCTCCAGAAATTTCTTTCTTTTCCATTACCCTTTCTGGGTACATGAAATGGACTTGGACAAGTATGTACTCCAATGGGGCAGCAAACATCTAACAGCCTACATCCTTCTTGTTGGTGTAAATGTGGGAACCAAAACTTACTTTAGGTGTCAAACAACATCAAACTATCATCAAGCTTTCCCAAGCCAAACCTGAGGAAACTTTAGCAAAATAATCTTCATAAAAACGCAATAGATGTGCTGATCTTCAGTCACTACCATTTAAAAGTAATCACAACAAAAGACTTAATCTGGTCAGATATTAAGCTTGCCAACTCTCCTCTTTTATTTGCTGGCCTCTGTGGCAGATCCACCCCTCTCTCCCTCTTGATTTAAGATTAGCTATCTTTAGACCCTCTTATATCCTACAGGAGGATTATACCACCCCACCCCACTGACATCACGGCAGGCCACGTGACTTGAGATGTTCCTTCTTTCCCGACTGATTTCCGCCTTACCCATTTGACTTGCTGTGGTGAATAAAATATAAAAAATAACACATAGCACTTCTAAGAAGCTGGTTCTGCCATCTCTTTTTGCCCTCCGCCACAAGAATGGCAATGTTCAAAAAAAGCCTATTCTTGTGGCTTAAACCATGGAGTAACTGAGGATATGGAACAGTCAACAAGTCATGAGTAAGAAATAAACCTCTGTTATTGTAGGGAACTAAGATTTTGTATCTAAGAGATCCTAGGGTTAGACAATGTGTCCAGGGAAGGTGGGCAGCTCTGCTCTGCAAGGTCACACACAGATTGGGGTTCCTCCTATCTTTTCCCACCACTTCCTGGGGTGTTGCAGAGATCCTAGACTTTGAGCAGAGTCCAGCTTTTACTGGAGCTTTTATGTTCAACTGACTGTTTCAGGTGGAAAAGCAAATCCTTAATATGATCCTTGTCTGGACTGACTTCCACTGTCAGGTCAAGAAAATGTTAACAGGAGGTTCCTGAGAATGACAATCTTATCTTTTGCTGTTTGGCATATAGTAGCAATTTTTTTCTAACCCTTGAAAATATTACTGGCCTCTCAGTCAATTCAGACCACAGGCCACAGGCAAAGAAAACCTCCTGTAGCTGCATATTATACACTATAAACTATATACTGCATTTTAACTCCAGTTACAAACTGGCTACTTTTTCCCTATTTGACACTCTCTTGTAGTTCCTTGCCAAAGCAGCAAAGAGTAATCAACTCATATCAGCAATCTGATTCTTTCTAACCACTTCCTGGAAGTACAAACTAGGTAGATAAATTAACTGTGTTCCAGTTAAGAGAGGTGATAGTTTCACTGAATATTTTGTCACCACATAGTAAGAGTCACCAGTTTTCTAGCATATACCATGTTTTCTACTATTGACCAAT